CATCGTTGTTTCTCTCTCCCTCTCAACTCAAAAAACATAGCCTTGAGTAGGGATTTTTAAAAAAAGTAAAATGCATTGAATTTTGTAATTTTGTAAGTGAAAGGAACCTGGAATGAGATGAGACTTCTGCCTCTAGTGAATGGATTGACGGTGATGGTTAATGGTGAGTTACAGAATACTGGAGAGAGTAGTACTGGTTGGAGAATTGGGGACAGGAGAAATGTTTGAGATAGCTGTAGAAGATCTAAGTGGCTATTTTTAGTGTAGAAACCTAAAGATTTAGAGGAAGATTAATTCTAGAGTTAATGTATTTGAGATCACCAGCATATAGATAGTAACTGGAGCCACGGGATTAAATGAAATCATCCAGGAAAATTTGTCAAGTGCAGAGGAAAGAGGTTAAAGCCAGAAATTGGGAGAAGAACAGAAAAAAGTGTTTTCTGCATTTTGTTTGGTGGTTGTTTACTGATATACTCTAAGAGCAGCAATAAAAGATTTTCAAGCTGCTTTAGCACAGCCTGAGACATTTAATATAAATCCTGTAGCAGGGAGAGTACTCCATTAAAAATTGGTATGAAAAAAGAAATTCCTGGCCAGCTCCCAGGACTGTGGAAAGGGAAAGAAATGAGAAGCCTTTGCTGCCCTTCTCCAGGGATGACTCATGGGATAGAGGAGTGTCCCCCTCTCCAGCCCATCTGCCAGAGGGTGAACTATTACCCAAATAATTCATGTCTGTTTAGCTCCAGGTTGTGAAGGAAGGAACCTCTGGCCTAGACATATTGCTTTTTGTGATTAACTAGGAACATGACCATCTTTTTCTGATTGTTTAGCTTGGGAAATGAAGTATGTTGAGAGAGAGGTGTGGGAATTGTTCCAATAAAAAACCGAAATCACTGACAAGCACAAAACAGTGGCCCGTCCTCTGGAAAGACTGAAGTGGTGAAAGATACTCCTTCTTATCTTATTTTAGTTGACTTTTGTAAGTTCATCTAGCTTTTGCCATTATTCCACTTAATTAGAAAGAAACCAGTTAGTGTTGCCAGTTGTGTTTTTCAATCCCTTAGTCAAAGCGGAGACATGAACATGATCAATCTTGAGCTTACTAGGTTTAGTGATTTTCTCCGTAGAGTTTGAGAGATTACTCACAGTCTCCAAACAGTTTTACCACCTGCAAAAAGGATGCCTTGGAATTTGAAGGAATAGTTCGATGTGCATGGAATATAAAATCTAATGTGTATCTGTGTACAGCTAAAATAACTTTTATTGTTTGGGGAACCTAAAACAGTTTACTAGTAAAATGCATTTACTCCTGGGCTTAGGGCATATTCCCTGTATTCTGGACGGAGATGGCTGTAGGGACTTGGGGTTGGGGTTGTGTTGAGTTCCTGCAGGACGTCCTTGCTGAGGAATTGGACAGACCCAGATCTGAAGCCCCTGGAAAGATAGAAGCTGGAGGTACAATCTTATGAGAAATCACCTATCCATAACAGTTAAAAATGTGGTATTAGCCACAGTTACCTGGTTTGAATATATAATAACCCTAGGGGGAAATACACACACACACACACACACACACACACACACACACACACACACAAAAACAGCATATAGAGGAAGATCCCATATGGAGACCAGGTCACTGTTGTTAACTCTTCCATATCTGAGAGTCAAGGGAGTAGATTTTAAAAAGAGGAAGAGAGGTCCATTGCAGCTGAGAGAGCTATGAAGATAAGGTCTAGAGCAGCAGTCACCAACCAGTGGCCTGCGGACCACTGGTGGTCCGTGAGGTCCGAAAGGTTGGTGACTGCTATTCTAGAGAATTTCTCCATTGGTTGATGCTGAAGGACTGGCAGCTTAGGGCAAATGTTAGAAGCACTGCCAAGTGATTTATCCCGTATCCCTGCAAGAAGGTAGAACCACGCTTAGGCAGCAGATGTTGGATAACCATTCTAGAAGATATATGGAAAGAGGAACTCTTTCACTGGGTAAGAGATTCACTATAAACCTTCAGAACTCTTCTAGAAATCTAAGATTCTGCTGTGCTAGCCGGTATCAAGGTTGCCTGCCTTTGAATAATTGGCAATAGGGCTTGAATAGCAGGATTTTTTTTCTTTTTCTTTTTTTTTTTTTTTTTTTTTTACTCTAGAGGGTCTTTGATTAGTTAGAAACAGAAACATCTTAAACTTGGATACTCTGAATTGTTATGCAAGCTGTTTTCGGTGCCCATAGCAACAAGCACTGGTTCATATGCACACACTCAGCCACAACTGTGGCGTGCAGGTAACCTGTATTCATCTGGTTAGCATTTCGCTTGGCTTTTTAACTTTTAATTCACACTAAACATTAATGCAAGAAGTTTTGATAATAACCCATGAACTTCATCCTTTCTCAAAGGTAGTGTAGCTCTCTTCCTGTAGTGTAACCATAGCAACTGACAAGGAACAGAGAGAAAAGGCTTTCACACATGCTGTGCTAATTAATCCTGTCCTACAGTTTTCCTTCAGCTGCAGGATGCAGTTTAATAAATTTTGTATGAGTAAGCGTGTTTTGCTGCATGAACTGTATAAATACATAGCAATGTCTTTACTCAAAATATTTATTAAAAGCCCAGTTATATATTCCTACTTCAAAGTATACTTTCTTTATTTCTTTTTCTTTCTTTTCTTTCTTTTTTTTTTTTTTTTTTGAGTCATTGTTTAGTAATTTACTCTCTCCCTGAAGAGTTTTGGGATTTATTTATCTTTTTAACTGAACAGAAATACTGGTAGGGCGAAAACCTTTTGTTTATCAGTATACAGGATACTTTCCACAAGGAACTGACTTTATTAAAGTGAGAAGAATGTAACATTCTTCAATGTATGATAACTTTATGCACACATTATTTTAAGAAACTGTCTTAACACATTGAAGAGTTAGATATGGAAAACTCATTTTCACTGTTAATTTGGGAAGTTTTGTGACCCTCGTGAATGGAATTTGGGCAGCCCTTGACCTAAACATGTGGGAAGGAGGAAAATAATGTAGACAACGCCTTTTCTATTTATATTATCCAGATATATTTAACCAGTTTTATAAACTTAAAGTCACAGTGAACATAATTGGCCTGAAATCACATATAATTATTTAGATTTATACTATTTCTAAGTTATTTTGAAGTCATGTTCTCCCTTTAAAAGTGAAAATATCATAATTTTCTATAACTAGCCTGGTCTTCTGAGCTGTCAAAGAAAATCTCAGATGTTTTCATTCTCCCATCCCTCTGGCCTCGCTTTCTGTCAACAGGGCCTCAGAAAAGCCAAGGGAATCCAGCCTGGATGTTTTTGGCTTCCCCTTTGACTTGACAACAGCATATGAAACGAGTCAGAACCTATTTCAGGACTTGTGCTTAGCTCTTTGTATAGAAACATGCCCATTTGAGGAACTAAACCTTTTGATGGGATTACTAGATTCTGGAAACACTGCCGCCATGATTGTCCTATCTGGTGGTCAGCTTTGCCTGAATTGAGGTAGGACAAAACCTCGCAGAGAAAAGGTGAAAGGGATTATGAAGTACAAATTGCCAGTTATGAAAATAGTCATGGGACAGTAAACTATAGCATTGGGAATATGGTCAATAATATTATAATAACTAAGTACTATATAGTGTCAGATGGGTACTAGACTTATTGCAGTGATCACTTCATAAGGTATATGAATGTCTAGTCACTATAAATTAAAAGGAAAGAAAAGAAGTAGAAATCTTTTATCAAAGTAGAAATCTGTTATCAAACTAGTTATTCTATTTATGTGCAAAAATGTTGGAGACCACATATGTGTATGTATTTGTGTTTATAATCTGCCCATTTTAATATGGAATACTTATAAACATTCACCAATTTGTAACATGCCATTATATTATTAGAAAAACTGTAGAAAAATTGAGTTACTGTAACATATAGCATAGTTGAATTAATTAGAAATTCTTGTCTCACCAGCTGTCCTATTAATTTTAACTTTTACATAGAATATACAAAAGGGAATACCAAGTGTTTAATAAACAGGAAAGAAGTCATGTTTCTAAGTACTACATAAAAATTTAAATAAGCAGGACAAGAAAATGAATTTGTTCTGGTAGAATATTATTAAAATGTTATATGTGTTTTGAGCATTACAGTGATAATACTTTACCCCTGTCATTAATTAACATACCCAGATAGAACCCTATCACAGATTATTTTTTCTTTTAAGAAAGAAATTTCTAGATTTTGTGATTTTTAAAGGATTCATTATCATTGTAGAAAATTTGGAAAAATGCATTTCCTGTCATTCTTTGTTGTGAGGTCAAACTGCACCTGCATTATCACTGAACATATTATGACCATTTTCCCAGTTTTAAAAAATTCTTTAAAAACATTTTAATATTTTGAACTATTCCTTTATAACTTTTTATTTAGGTAGTTTTCAAGTGAGCTTCCTGAATAAGCATTTCCTAGCAAGTGCTTGACAGAACGTGAAACCCAAAGAAGTTTGGAAAATCTCCTTTGAGAAAACTGTCAGTCTGTCTTCTCTCAGATTCACATTACACATTAGGACAATTAAAGGCACTGAGCAATCTCATGTATGGAATACTGTTTAACTTCTTAACCCATCTTTTCTCAAAATTATTTGACCTTAGAAGCCTTTCCAATAACATTATTTATAGCTCTCAGAACTAGAGGTCCATGGAACATTCTTTGGAAAGTCCAGAAGATTTCTAAGCTTCTGTGTAATGTCTAATCATTGATGGATCATTTGTTTACTCTCCTGGGATTTTATTACTGTCATGATGTTTTATTAGGGATATAAATGATTTACAAGCATGTGTTTGAAACAAGCCGACCTTTCTTGTAACCTTAACACTGAATTCCTGACTCTGTATCACAATGCCATGTTTGACCTTTTAAAACTGTTAACATTCAAACTTAAATTCCCTTGTCCCATGAATGCCTATTAAACTTCTTTATGTTTCGTGTAACCCGCAGGTCTTGCAAGAGCAAAATCGGTCCCTAGCCACACGTACTCCAATGAAGTGGTTACCTTATGGTACCGACCTCCAGATGTCCTCCTGGGCTCAACAGAGTATTCTACCTGCCTGGACATGTGGTGAGAAACAGAAGCTTTTCTCTCGCTAATCTATCCCTGGCACTTGGTCTGTGTCAAGCCTAGATAAACATCCCAACAGTCTGAATGAAGATTAATGGTGGAGGAGTGTGTGCTGGTGTGTGGCAGTGACACTAGATTTTTAAAAAACATGATTGGGAGTATTTCCTAATCAGAGCCTGCCTTGCAGATGGGGCCTCTTGATGGACAGGGGCAGAGACACTTTTCTAACTGTCAGTAGTTGCCGCGACGTTTGCGGCGGGGTTCAGGAGGGGCCGATGCACAAATGAAAATGCTATACAAGAAATACGAATTTAGAAGGCATTGGGGGCCAGGTGGAGCCTCTTTCTTAAAGAGACACACTGACGTCTGGCCTGGTCCGCTGTTTATTTATTTGAATACACATTTGCCCTTTAGCAATGCGTACAGGCATATCAAAGGTAAAGTTTGGTAAACAGTAACAGGATTATCAGGTTAGGGAATTGCCTTGAGCCACCTGAGCATCAGCCCTGCTAATGCCCAAGGTCCATCGGCCTTCTGCGTTCCTTGGTGACAGTATTGGCAAGCAGTGGCTTCCCACAAGTAGTCAGTGATTTTTCTCCCTAAAGGTCTTAATTTGCGGCTTTGATTCATGGCAAGGATATATATCTATATCTCCAAACAACAGTATGGTTTGAAGTAGTAGCTAGCATGTTTAAATTCACAACAAAGCTCGGATAAGTGGTCTGAAGGTTTTGGTGTAACTGCCAGGCACTAAATTTGGTGCAGTATATTTCTGGAAACTGTTGCCACCAATTATCCAAAATGAAATAAAATTACTCTTTTAAAGGGTCACAATACATTTAATTTCTGTAGAGTCTCAATCTCACATGATGGTTTAGCCAAACTTAAGAATCTATCATAATAGGAGGCTCAGAGACTCATGAGATTTAATGCCTGATTATTATTTATAACAAAGTATGGGTTCCCAATCCATTGTGATCTGAATCAAATAAGGTAATAATTTCAGCACTCAGGAAGGGCTTACTAGTGACTGTTGAAAATGTCCTTAATTAATGGAAAAATCCCTTTCTAGACTCACAATTAAACAACTGTTTAAAGCAAAACAGTTTACATACCATGTGGTTATTTTATAGCAGGAATCATCTTCTAAGAATGACTGTGCCCCATATACAGAATTCAGCTACATGTTCATATAATGTTTACGACCTCAATAAAACTTTAGCACGTGGTGTTTATCTTACTGCCATGTACTTACTTCACAGCTCTGCCCTCAGTTATCTTGGCTTTTAGTTAATTAGGCCGTGCTGAGGTCTGGCTTCTACCCTGATGTTTGTGGTTCCAATATTTTCCGGTGAGAAAACAAGTTCCTTGTGATGTAGGGCACAGTATAGATTTTTTTAATTTAGGTTCCAGAAAACCCCCTGAGAATGGGATTTCGGGAACTTTGAAACCACTGAGATTACATGCAATATTCTGTGTACACATGGACCTATTTATTTTTATGCGGTGTAGATCTTCAGCTTTCAATAGAGTTATAAAGGAATCTGGATCATCAAACAGCCTAAGATCTATTGACATACATTTTTATAATGGCTTATAATACATCTAATACCATCATAATGCATGTTCCAAAACACTGAGCATAAAGATGACCATCTATCATTGAGGAGCTGAGCTAATCTATTTTTTCATCCCACTTCTGGCTTTTTTGTTTGTTTTGGACATTTTGTTACAGTTAGATTTTACGCCGCCCACCCATACCCCTCCCCCCAAGACTAGGCAGGGGCAATAGATATTTTGATCATTGGTTGTAATGGAGTAAAAAATTGGAAATAAAGGTCAAAGATTCATCAGAGATCAATTACTAACTTTCTAACTCCCTTCCTCCCTCCTGAGAGTAGGCTATGCAAGTAATCATTGCTTAATATTCTTGAGTTATGGAGTGGTTTTCTCCATTTTTTAACTATGGAAATTGTGGGTTGCCTTCAGTGGGGTCAGTTAAGGACTCTGCTAATAGAACATAATTTGGAAATATTTGTGGCTTGGGGCCAGTTTTGTCTTAGTGCCTGGCAGTTCAGTTAAGACTCTACCCTCATAAACGGGAGAGGCTGTTTTTTATACACTATTGGCCAATTTCCCCCAAACCTTTAAAAGTGCTGTTTCAAGTACAAAGAGCCACATAGATTGTGACTTGCTGACATGTCTGTTTCTGATAATTGGCATTTGATTTCCAGTCTTTGCCTCCCCCCCCCCCCCCCCACCATACACACATACACATTTTTCTTTTCGTATATGTATTCATTCTCTTAAGGAAGAAGGCTTGGGCACTTTCTGCCCATTTACTTTAACCAGATACATAATGAAGTAGAAGAATAAGACTTCTACTTAAAGTGGAAGGGAGGAAAACTGATAAAAAATAGTAGACCTGGGATGGGTGGCTCATTTGGTTGGAGTATCCTCCCCTACATCAAGAAGGTTGCAGGTTCAGTTCCCAGTCAGGGCATGTGCCTCTGTTGTCAGTTCAGTTCCTGGTCCAGGTGTGCATAGGAGGCATTCAGTCGCTGTTTCTCTCTCTCTCTCTTTTTCTCTCTCTCTCCCCTTCCTTTCCTTTTAAAATCAATAAACATATCCTCGGGTGAGTATTAAAAAAATAGTAGACCCCCAGATGCCTTTGGCCTGCCTGCAACAATTATCATTGGCAGAAACAAATAGTCAATGTGTTATGTTTGAGCCATTTCCTATGCTTCTTGGCTTTTCATTTCCAAGCCCTAAAATCTGAGTTACGTCTATGCCATGCCTGTCATGCTGAATTTGATTTCATTCCAAGCCGTTTTCTAAAAGCCATTGTGTTATTATCCTATAAGCCAGGTATTTCTCCAGTTAGGGGGAAGTCCACAGGGCGCCGATATTTGCTTAATAAATGAGATCGATGCTGGTATGTGAAGACCTAGAAATGGGACTATAATTGAGCCATGGCTCAGGTGCACCAAGGAGAAGTGCAAATATTCACCCATGGACAATAGCAGGGAGGCAGGTGGCAATTGTCTCAGGCTATTTTTACAGTTCATTACCATCCTGGGCAGGAGGGTAGTAACTAAAGCCTAACGATGCCTACACAGTGTTACATTTTCCAGTTTTCTGTTTAAATAACCACAGGCAATAAAATATTAATGAAGACACATAGGCATTAACGTTGGCAGCAAGTAATGGGAATCAGAGCTCGCCCTGTTATGATTTGCTGCTCTGGGTCTCCAGCCCTAGGGTGGGTGTGAACACCCCTTGGGATTTGATCACTCAGCAAGACAGACAGTGTTTGATACCTTTGTCTCCTTCCAGAAAGGAATCCTTAAGCAGAGGAATCAAATTGGACATTGTCTCCTGTCTAACTTCTCTTAATTCTTGGATTTTATAACTCTTTGGAAGTCAAGGTGTAGGAAATCATCTTTAAGCTTCTAAACCAAAGAGGCTTACCAAGTGCTGAGAACCCCATTAAGAGAAGTGCAGATGTGAAAGCAGCTTATGCCTGTAGTCAGTTCCTCCCTTGTCAGAGTTCTGTTCTAGCTGTGGAGGTCATTGCTCTAAATTAGCTTTGTAGTCTTCATGGAAGCTCATCTGTATGTTTAGAGCGGCATTGATTTTCTAAAGCAGAAGATCAGTTAGGATTCTTTTAAGGGATTATTTTTTAACATAAGGTGACTAAGTTACCTGTAGCTGGCAAATAATTATCTCATCAAGATCAGTGCTTTTGGGGGCCACACTATGTAATAGCACTACCTTATGGTATCAAAGACAGGGCTCCCCAACATGGTGTGTGAAGAATGATAGCGTGTCAGTCTCTTCCTTTCATCATCTGTTTAAAAACTAATTAACATATTAACTATGCTTGTCAAAATGTGGGGCAAATCATTTATAAATAAGCCTGTCAAATGTAATGAGATTGCATATTAAATCACCCCTCTCTCTATTACATCTCTGATTTAAGATTACAATTAATTTATTTAACATTGTAGCAGCTGTGTGGTTAGAAAAAAATTTCCATATCCATCTTGATATATAGAAAAATGTCTGCATCAAAATTGATTTTGCATATATCAGGGAAGAAATTGCCTATTCATTGAGTATTATAAGGCCATTTAGCATTACTTTTTATTAAATAAGCCTAATCACCATACAGATTGGCAACATACAGAGTTGGTGTCATTCTTAATGATCTCTCTTGAACCCAGGAAATTTATATAGTAAAATAAAGTTTTTTGAGGACTCGGATTTGTTTACCATGTTTTAATAGAGAAAATCATAGATAAATTCTACTCTACCCCTTATCCTGAAAATAAATTTATTCTACATGAAATGCTGTCTTGAGTAATTGAGTAACAGTAGTAATTGAGTCTTAATAAGAGTAACAATAATAGATACTTTTATTGAACACAGACTGTGTTCTAAGCTCTCATGCATTTTAATTACTTACCTATTATACCATAATACAGTGGAAGAAAGAAAAACCCAGGAAGAATAAGTAGGATAGTAAATAAGGTCATATAGTGAGCAGAGGCAACATTCAAAGGGCTAACACACTCCAAGCCCTTTCCTTTCCAACATATTACATAATCTCTTAAGATGATTTATAAGAAATTGGGCTTTCTTTTGCTAGTAAAGTTATTCCAAAACATAATACGGTAAAATTCCTGTTTTGTAATTTAGATTATGCTCTGAGTCATGCTGAATCCTTTTTGTGCTTCAAATAAAGGTTGTGGCTTTCTCTCTCACTCAACAGCCTTGAGAACTGCCTTTCTCCCCTTACTTTAATATTCTGTATTATAGTTTTGATCAAGGAGGAGTTTCTTTACAATAAATTTAAGACGTGAATCTCTGGATAGAATACATTTTACGGGACCAATTCTGTGCTGGCATGCATTTCCCCAACTCCTAACCGTTACTCATTTATCACTTCTACTAAAATGAATGAGTCTATTTAAAAAAGAATGTAGTAAGAATGAGAA